GGGCGAGCGCCGAAGGCTCAGCTTCCCCCTCGAAGACCTGCCCAGCAGTTGCCAAGCAAGTCCCCCCCCCCCCGGGCAATGGCATCTTTCCCAGACCAGCGGGTTGGCCTAGATGCCCTTTGGGAGCCCCTTCCCCAGACCACGCGAGGAGACACCCAGCGGCAGGAGCGCCCCCTCCCTCAGCATGTCCCAGCGTGGGGTGTGGTGGACTATAGACTACACCTCCCATCTCCCCAGGCTGGGGGTTGAGCAGGACGCCCCCCCCCTCCCCACTTGCCTGGCAGCTCCAAAGGGAGCCCACCAGGCAAGAGGGTTTTCCACCCAGAGCCATCAGCAGTGGGCATAAGATGTATCAGAGCCTCGCCATGAATTCCAAACAAACACACTTTCTTGCTGATAAGGTCCAGCAAACAGAAGTCAGCAGACAGATGTTCACACACAAAAGCCACTTGGCGTTGTTTACACGCAGGCCCTGGAAAACAATGGCCCAAAATTAAAGATTTCCTAGCACCCCCCCCCCAAAAAACCAAATAAAATAATAATAATAAAGAGGAAAACGGTGGAAATCTGGCCCTGTTTCCTGAAGGAAATGCACCTTCAGTGCATTTGGAAGTGGGGGAGAACCCCCCCCCAGCACTAGAGTTGGAAGCAGGAGAGTCTGGCATTAACACCGATGTTATGCCCAAAGTCCAACTCAGATTGTTTTCAAAATGACCCCCATCAGGCATCCTCAATCTTCTCCCTCTTTTTAATATATTCTTTTTAGTGGAACGCTTGGAAGAAAAGAGCTAAGCCGGCGCAAAGGAGAACGTGAGAAAAAAAGAAGAAAGAACGTAATGGAGAAAAATCAAGCAGGGGTTTTAAACACGCATGGCGGTTCGAGCTTTGTAAAATATCATTAATTAGCTGTGAATAATTAGGTAGAGACGTCACGTTAAGGGACTAAGCGTGGCTGTTGAATTTCAGCTCAAAACAAGACAAACCACGATCAACACAATATAAATCTCCACCTGGAATTATACATGCGCAATGTTCTTGCGCGTGACAGCAGACTTGGAAGATCTGTCTTTAGGAAACTGCGAGTGAAGGGACCAAATTCAATAAAAAGGACAATCTTGGATGCAAGGAAGCTCATTTCAGGGATTACAAAGGGACAATTGCAGCCGCTGTAAGACTGAACGTGGGGGCCGGGCCTGTTTGCACACAGATGGCCACCAGTCTTGGGTTTCTCCCTTCCAGAGGAATTCACATGCCGGGACAGGTACCTGCATGTATTTGGGAGAACAGAGCTAGACATGCTCGAGCCTGCGCCCAGAGTCTTTCCCCAGCCTCATTTCTGCCCCAATAATTTGTGGGGAGAAGAGATTTCAAACCATCTCTAGAGCAAAACATCAACACTGCAACCCAGGTGTTGCGCTGTGACCGGGAGCATTTGCACCGGGATGCCAAAAGGGCTCTCGGCGGACCTCCTCCCACACCCATACGCCCCTCTGCAGGGCTTTAGCACCGAGGTCTGCTGCTTTACAAAGGGCGACGTCAAGCGCAGAGTGGGGTTTTGCAATGTGCAACGGGTGGAGAGGAAAGAAGGAAGGAAGGAAAAAAGTGAAAGGGAAGGAAGGAAGAAAAGAAGGGAGGGAGGGAGGGAAGCAGGGGGAGGAAGGGAAACAAGGAAGCAAGGAACCAAGGAAGGAAAAAAGTGAGAAAAGAAGGGAGGGAGGGAGGGAGGGAGGGAGGAAGGAAGGAAGGAAGGAAGGAAGGAAGGAAGGAAGGAAGGAAGGTAGGTTGGTTCTCTGTCTTTCAGGCCTTAAACGTTGACAGTCAAAGCAAGGATTGTATTTAAGTAAAGATTGTATTTCAGTGAGTGACTCTGCTTGTGACAAATGTTGGCATTTCCTATGGTTGCTGCACAACTCCTTGCGGAGTGCATCTCTCATCAGGGAATTTACCTTTCTGCCCTTCCCCAGAGCTCAATCCCAAATCCCGCCTTTCTGAAACGGCTTCAGAAGTCGGGTTTGGGGTCCAGACCACGTTCACTGCCCCCCTTCTCTCGTTCCTTTTCATCTCCTTCCCTTTAATCCCAGAGCAAACAGGCTGTTGCAAGCCCAAACCTTGGTCTGCAGCAAACGTACGGGAAAACGGATCCTTATCGGGGCCGTTCAGCAAGAAAGAAAACCTCTGAGAGGTCTGCCCTCCCAAGAGGCATCGGCTGCCTCCTTCCCAAATAACAAGAAATAGACTTAGACCCACTTATGGGTCCACC